TGTTTTTGTTCGTGATGACAACATTAGACGTGCCTTGCAATGCAACCTCCTGATATTGGTCTGTGTCCAATCATCCAATTATTCGCCAGCACATAACCAACAATAATCAAAAGATAAAAGAACACATACTGGCCATGGATAATCTGGTAAAGTCATGTAAATGTAACGAGAAACGTTTTGACTCTTTATTAAAATATCTAAATGAATAACAGCGCAAAATGCCAGGTTCTTTAGGGACAGTGTGTGTAAATAATATGACAAGCAGTAATACTTCATTTTCTTTACCTACACCTTGTTGTGGCGGTGTAAGAATATCCACTACCCCATATCATCCCGTGGGTGTCGTATGAGGCGACAAAGGGAAACAAATTAGGAGATGGGCATCAGCAGCTTCCTAATAATGACAAAAATAAAAAACTGCGCTTGCTAACCCGCTTGCCAATCATGGCAATTATGGCAAATATTCCTCCTATGAGGCAATCTATGGAGGAGGCCTTTGTTGACCAGTGGATTTTAATTGGCTCTAACATTAACATAGAGGTGCAATATGCAATAACAAAACATCGAACTATAAACACTTAGATTAATGATAAGTCATCGCGCGCTCTGACTAGATACCACGCTCCCTACAAGTAACAGCTCCATGAATGCGACATCTTAATATTGTAGTGTGTATAAGACAATTTGCATGATGCTAGTGTGCGTGAAAAATTGTATATGCCAGCAGCTTAACTATTACCCGATTAAAGGGAAAATTTATTTTATAAAATATATTTATTAGGTTTTTCTTCTGAATAAATGACATATAAATGATAAGGCCTCCTTTTTATCAGTTTAATTTTTTCACTTACGTGTCTAACTAATATTCACAAATTATTTAAAAAAATAGTTATATATATATATGGTGTAATCAAAATAGTGCTTTCTATTCTACGCGTCGATATGAACAAGTTTTACTATAGATCTATATATCTTCCAAATCGCAAGAAAAATCAGGTCTTCCATACATTTTGAGCAAGTTTGTACGAAATTTTGTATGGAATAACTGACTTTGAGATATTTATTATAGGATCAGGGTGACAAACGATCACTCAGTCGACCTGATGGTAAGTGGTTGCTGTACATCTATCCTCGGTTAAGTATCAAAATGCAGATGTGTTGCAACATCTGAGGACTAAGATGGAATGCCTCGTTTCCAGTAAAAAGGGTCTCCGGTCCTCTACACTCACCATAAGAAACACAGCAGCTTTAAGCTCCTATTTTACACTAGTATTCTGTGAGAGCGTGGTCCTTCCCCGGTCGAGCTGACCCATTCGTGCTACAACTATACCAGTAATATAGCTGCAGTATGGGTCTATCAAGTGTAAATTGAAAATTTCGAAGATGATCCCATAATAAAAAATATTCATGTTGACGGGCAGAATCATTCCCTAAGTTATTAAGTACTATGTTGTTTTGTTAAGTAGTTTTATTTGATATATTCAATACCAGAGATTTGAAGGAACATGGATTTAGTCATCCCATTTATAATGGAAAAAAATTGTAACTTAAATATTAAAACCTCCAGAAAGCTTTCTTTTAAAGAACACAAGCAACAAAAGAAAATAATGACTAAAACTTTTAAACCAGTTTTAAGTTCAAGCAAATACTGGATTTTAAGGAATGTTAGTGCGTATTGAAAATCTCAAATAGATAACTAATCTTGTGATATGGCGTTATCATGATGAAAGACCACTCCTTTTCTGATTATCAATGCCAGCCGTTTTTTTTTTCTATTTCTTGCTTGTCTCATTATTTATTGGTAGTAGAGATCCGAATCGATGGTTTTACCCGGCGGGAAAAGCTCATGATAAACTTTCAATCCCACCATACACACAGCATCATTTTATTGCGTGTTAATCCAGGTTTCGCTTTAGCCTGTAAGCAAACAAAACACATATCAATACAGAAAAAAATCACGTTTCTTGTATGAAGACCATACAAGAAACGTGAAGAACGTGATTTTCTGACATAACACGGATATAATTTTTTAAGAACAGCGTTTCTTTCAGTGAATTTATATTAACAATTCTTGAAGTTTATGCATGAACTAAGTGGTACGACTTCATTTCTGTCTGGAGTCATCTTGGAGGTATTACCCTCTTATCTAGTACCGGTATAAATACCGGCTGTTAAGCATTCCATCTCAGTCTGTAGAGGTGACAACAACCTTTTTAGTTTGACGTTAGCTGCAAGTTTCCATGGGCTGCAGTAGCCACTTACTATCTTCAGGTGAACTGTAAGTTAGTTGGGTACTTCAGTTTTATAAAAAAACTTTACCTAATAAATCGTAATAAAATTAACATTTTTATAACATTTTTGAATTACACCTATTATTGGATCAAAGACAGAATATTTAATTATTTATTTAATTAGTATAGTTATTCAGCGAGGAAGCGCAGCTAGCGTTCTTTGAATGATATCACTGAGAGTTGGACTGTGTGATCATAAATATTTTTAGTTAGCTTTTTAAATATAAAAAAATACATATAATAGTATGTATTTTAATGTTTCATTATGTTCACAATAAATCGTAATTTTAGTCTTTGTGTGACTTCTTGCAGCTTGAAACCCGCGAAAGGGCACAATACTTTTAAAGATATCTAATTTGTCAATATACGATTAGTAGTTTAGAAGATCCAAGGGAACAGATGAACATATATACATAGTACATAGCCTTCTAAAATTGTAACCATACTTTTGGGTTTGCCATGGTCGAGTAAAATATACACTTAAATCATCTGCGTCAAATCAGAAGACACGAATATACTGCAATCTGTATCTATAATTATAGTTACGGCAGGCAATTAATGGTGCAGCACTATTTGTTACCCAACCTGCATATTACACGCACACTGGTGTATTTTGATTTTGGTCTCGCCCTAATCACTCCATTGCCAATATATACTATACTATATTTATGGTTTAAGGTGTGTTTTAATAAATATATATACTAGCTCGCCAGGCAGACGTTGTTCTGCCCTTTCCAACTACCCTTCCTATAAAAATCCTTAAATTCGCAATAAAAAAATTTAATGGTCATTTATCGGGATAAAAACTATTCTATCTCTCAAGTTGGACCAAAATGCACACAGTGTGCAAAATTTCAATGAAATCAGTTCAGTAGTTTAGGATTTCATCGCGGACAAACAACGTGACACGTAATTTTTATATATAAAGATATATTTATATATAAATGTAGTGCGATTTTGTGTATTGTCTTTTTTTTGCGCCCAGAAGCAATTGAGAAGAGCTACCCTCGGAAACGAGGAGGGAGGTGGTGAATGCTCTAATTATACCACGACAGCCGGCCTTTCTGCTGAATCGGAAGCGACCCTTTTTAGGGAAAAGGAGGCGCAGCCGGCGACGAGCCGCTGAGGGGGAGCCTAACTAAGGCAAATTAAGAACAGTCGGCCTGAGCCGCCAGGAGGCAGTTCAGGTCAGTCGAAAGCTTGTTTGGCGGGTCCGAGAGAGAGTTTCTCGGCCTGCGGACTAAATAGCGAGAGGGGAGTGGGGCTGCATAAGTAGCTGCCTCACGAATGAAATGATTGGAGTGAGACTCTGAGGCTTTGAAGAAGTTCTCAGAGAGTGGTTTTAGAAATTGTTGGATTGTGGGGAGCTCTAAGTCTCGATGGAGGTCGGCGTTACGGACGTACCAGGGTGTGTTCGTAGCTCGTCGACAGAAAAGGATTTGAACTATAGTTAATGATTTTGGGGTCAGTGTGAGCAAATACAGGGCCCGCGTAAGTCATGATTGGAGGGACATTTTACTGTGTCGGTCCAGCATACTGTTGAGCCTACTCAGATAAAAACGTGCGTTGCGGATTACTCTTTTGACATGGGGACCGAAGGTGAGCCTCGTGTCAAGGGTGACACCTAAATATTTGGCGGATGTATGCCAGGGGACAGTGGTCCCTAGCATACCGATTGGCTGAATGGCAGAGAAGCGGCACCGTTTATGATCAAAGTGAACGGTGGAGCTCTTCTCCGGGTTCACATCGATGCGCCATTTTTGGAACCAAGCTCCTAAGTCATCAACTGACTTTTGGATCTTGTTCTATATGAAAGGTAGCGAGATACCTTTACAAAAGAGGGCAGTGTCGTCTGCGAAGAGGGAGAGCTCAACACCTTTCGACGGGATGGGAATGTCGTTGGTGAACAGGATATACAGTAAAGGAGCAAGTACTGAGCCCTGAGGGACACCAGCTATGATGAAGCGCTGAGTGGAGAGTGTGCCTTCGTGTCTAAAACGAAAGGTATGATCCTTCAGGTAAGAGGCCACGAGACGAACAAGACGATCAGGGAGACCTATTTTATATAGTTTGTAGATAAGGCTTTCGTGCCAGACTCTATCAAAAGCTTTTGCAAAGTCGAAAAAGGCTGCGATAGCCTTATCACGACGAGGATAGAGGCCACTGAAGGTATATTCTACAATATGGTGAACTTGTTGGGGACAAGAATGTTTCGCTCCAAATTGGTGGGGGATATGTATTGTCTGTCAACTGTTTCTATTTAAGCACCTTAAGAAACCATCGGCAACTGTCTGCTGGCTCAAGTTGGCGTTAAAATCTCCCATAAACTACACAATATGACGCATCAACATATTGTGAACATATTGTGTACGGAACTGTAAAGGATTATTATCACTTGCTACTGAAAATCTATAAAAGCGAAGATCTCGAATGAAATAAGATATGACTTAAAGAACAAGCATCCAAGCCAAAAATCTCTTAAGAAAATCCTGAATGCTTGTGTCAAAGTGTCCACAAATTATAAAGTTGTATGAAACTGTCAAGCAGATCTGACAGCCTGAGTTCATGAGTCAGGCTGCCTGACACTGACAGTAAAGATATTCCAATTTCCAATTACTATAATAATTACTTTATTTAAGTTTTTTATGCATTCTTTGATAGTAATTAATTAGTAGAATAGTTTTTGATGAAGTGTACCTAAAATTAAACATGGAATACATAACACTAGAAAATAATCCAAACCCAAATAGTACACGCATGTAAGTAAATAATGTATTTAATGTTTTAGGCTGAAATGTTAGGTTACAAATAAACACGTGCGTTTTAATTTATTTACGTTGAATTTACGTTGATGTACAAAATGAGTTAAAGATTTTATTATTTCCAGATTGTGCTGTCAATGCGGTGCTCCTATAGAGGCAAACCCCTCTAATATGTGCGTAGCATGCTTACGAGCTCATGTTGATATTTCAGATGGTATTCCAAAACAAGCGACCTTGTTTTTTTGTAGGGGTTGTGAAAGGTAAAGACATTTTAAAATCGCGATTTTAATTCAAATGAACATAACCTCCTTCATTCCTGGAAGAGCTATGGGGCAACTATGGCAAATATCCTCCCTTTGAGGCATATTGGGAATTCTCCCAATTGGGGAAACAGCCCTGGACACCCCAGGGATGTTCAGTCATGGACATAACTTATGTACAGTAATCACTACATAATTTAACTTACTTAAGCCTTTATTGCCAACACAATATACATAATTTATCATTTCCTAGTTTAAAATTAAACATGCAAATTAAAATATTATATAACTTTTAGAATAGAATAAAATAATTTTTTATTCAATATTGATTATTACATAATTCTTATTGAAAGTCATTTTTTATCTACCACTGGTTCGGAAAATACCTCTGTCCTGGGAACCTTGAGGATCACCAGCTGATTAGTGACCGCCAGTATGGTTTTCGTCGGGGTCGATCAGTTAGAAAATAATCCAAACCCAAATAGTACACGTTTCATGTTTCACGTACATGTTTTCATGTCAGCTGGTGATCTTCTGGTCTACTTAACTCATAGATGGGCGGAGGCAGTAGATTCCAAGGGGGAGGCATTGGCCGTTAGTTTGGACATTACGAAGGCCTTCGATCGGGTTTGGCACAAAGCGCTTCTTTCGAAGCTCCCTTCCTATGGGCTTCCCGAGAAATTATGCAATTGGATCACTAGCTTTCTAGCAGATCGGAGCACCATGGTCGTTGTAGACGGTGCATGCTCCGACTACAAGCCTATTAACACTGGTGTTCCACAAGGCTGCGTGCTATCACCAACTCTTGTTTCTTCTGCATATCAATGATATGTTGCAAGCCGGTAGCATTCATTGCTATGCGGATGACAGCACTGGATGCTCTGTACACCGGCCGTGCCAATATTTCTCGGGAAAACGTCACTGAGTACCGGAACAAACTTGTGTCCTAAGTCAAGTCTTTGCTGGACAAAGTCTCGGATTGGGGGCGACTAAATCTAGTCCAGTTTAATCCTCAGAAGACATAAGTTTGCACATTTACTGCTAAAAAGAACCCCTTTGTCGTATCTCCTCAGTTTCAAGGTACTCCCCTTGTTGCCTCAATCAGTATCGGAATCCTCGGCGTCGACATATCGAGTGACGTGCAGTTTCGTGGTCACTTGGAAGAGAAGGCCAAATTGGCCTCTAAAAAGCTTGGCGTGCTCAGCAGAGCGGGACAGTATTTCATGCCAGCTCAACGCCTGCAACTTTACAAGGCGCAGGTTCGGCCTCACATGGAATACTGTTCCCATCTCTGGGCTGGGGCTCCCCAGTGCGAGCTCCTTCCTCTTGACCGCATCCAGCGCAGAGCGACTCGAATCGTCGACGACCGAGTCCTTTCCGATAGGCTCGACTCATTGGCACTGCGAAGAGATGTTGCATCTCTTTGCATTTTCTTTCGCATTTACCATGGGGAGTGCTCTGAGGAATTGTTCGGATTAATCCCAGCCGCCAAATTTCACTAACGGACATTGCGGCAGAACTTCCGATACCATCCACACCATCTGGATGATTGGCGGTCCACCACTGTGCGATTTAGAAGATGTTTTCTTCCTCGCACAACTTCCTTGTGGAATAGTTTACCACCAGCGATTTTTCCGGACCGATACGACTTAGGGACCATCAAGAAAAGAGCCTACTCCTTTTTAAAAGGCCGGCAACGCATCTGCAATTCCCCTGGTGTTGCGGTTGTTCATGGGAGGCGGTAGTCACTTACCATCAGGTGAGCCGCATGCTCGTTTGTCCCCTCTCCTATAAAAAAAAAACCAGCAAGAAACCCAGTGGGACTTTTTTGTGAAACATAATTTAGTTTATACAATTTTTAAATCATTTTTCATAGAACCAGCATGGTGGTGATCACCTTATTCCCAGGGGTTATTTTCATTCATGTATTCCTTGATATTATAATAACCCTTTTTGTACAGTTTTTCTTTAATAAAACTTTTAAACTTGTTTATTGAAAAGTAAAATTGACCTTTACATTAAATTCATTATTAACATTATTGAATTACTATTACACATTATTAATATCACTATGTATGTAATTTTAGTTGATATTATATTATTAGGTAAGCATGTCGTTGTTATCGGGCGATTAAATTCATTATTAACATTATTGAATTACTATTACACATTATTAATATCACTATGTATGTAATTTTAGTTGATATTATATTATTAGGTAAGCATGTCGTTGTTATCGGGCGATGAAAATATAAAATTTGAAAATATTTTTAAATATATGAAACGAATGCGTCTTGACTTTTTGACTGTCACTAAGACTAAATGACAAAAATCGGAGATATATCCTATAGGACATAAGTTACAGACGACAATGTTGCTGCTGATGTCCGATCTATTACTACTACTACTTAAATGTCTTTGCAGTACAGTAATACCCCAGACTTATGCGATAGGTGGGACCAAGTGTAAGTCGCATTTACTTAAGTCGGGGTTCAATTTTGCATAAAAATACATGTAATGTTTGTGAAATCGAGACCAGAGTCTAAAGTAAATAATTTTGAAGAATCATGTTTAATAAAATTTTAGATAATAAAAACACATATTGACACATAAATATGATTGCAAAGAGCTGCCACATATTTTTAACATCAGCAGTGTCTACAGACCTAGACATCCTAACTATATGAGATTGGCCCACATCTGCTCATACACTAATGTGGGACATCACACACTAAACAACAGAATCATAAATATATGGAACATTTTGCCTCAAGACGTGGTAGATGCTTCCTCTGTGATTAGTTTTAAAAACAAACTGGACAAATGGACAAATAAAAACAATCCAATTTAGTGTATTCTTAGTGTGAACTTGGACTAATATAAAACACCAAAACAGATATATCAGCTATAAGCTGTTCGCCTATTACCAGATAATAATAATAATAATTTACATTACTATGAATAAAACAACTTAAACCAAAGTTATTTTGATGTTGAAGGCTTCATATATTCTAACAATGTCGCCTGACAACTCGTCATTGACGAGTTAAGTTTTCTTCTCATGTAAAATTTCCTCATAGCATGCCATTATTTTTTTTATTTCCCATTTTGTAGTAAAAACACGCTCTTCATTTGTATCTATTTTTTCTAAAATTTATAACTACTTTTTAATTTTACTGAGGCCTTCTGTTAAGTTTGAAATCATGTCGACACTTTTTAAGTCTTAATTATCACACCATAAGAGTTCTTTTTCGTGTTTTCTGGTTAGTTTGACTTAAGACTTGTGTGATCATGACTCATTTATTGACTTGGATGACATAATTAAAGATAAATCAATAATGTGCACTACATACATTTAATAAATCCACGAGGAACACGTCCGAGCTTGTCGTAAACCAAATGTATATTGCGTACGTAAAATAATTCCACATGTAATACGTTCGAACTTGTCGTAAACCGAACACTGAGAGAGCGAAGTGGGCAAATGAAAAACCGCGTATCTCCGAATTCGTGTAAAACCCATTTTACGCTTCTTTTCTTGTAGATGCATAATTATAAAAAAAACTTTCGGTTTTTTTTTCATGTTACATGATATTAGGTTAAGTGCAATGCACTGTCTTATTAAGTAATAATTAAATAGGCTGTCACAATAAAGTGTTAAAAATGATTTCAGGTCTTATGCATATTTTTTTGTAATTCTTGTCTGATATATTATATGCATATTATCAAAAGATAAATTATGATAAATATAAATCATTACCATTACAGACTATCATAGATAGTTCACTGCTGAACATAGGCCTCCCTAATAAATTGCCTCATGGGTGTTTGCTATAGTTGCCATGCATCGAGGTGGGTTGGCAACCATAGTTTGTCATTTTCTATTCATTATAAGGAAGACACTGCTGCCCATCTCCTATTTTGTTTCCCTTTGTCACCTTTTACGAAATCCTTGGCACAATTGGAGGTAGTGGATATTCTCACACTGCTGCTACATGGTAAACTTTATCTCAATTCATATAAACTAATGGTCACTTAGTGGTCAAAATTCAACCGTAATTCATTAATATTTTAGGATTGTATATTTAAGCAAGCTGTAATACCACCCAATATTGATTACCTTGTGAGCCAGATCTAGATAATTTGTCTCCATATCTGGTTTGGTTTTCCAAGGTGTTGAACGACAAGGTTCTCATCATATTATGGAATGGTAATGTTGATTAAAAATATTGTTGACTGTATCCCATCCATAAACACAATGTCAGATTTATTTGCAAAAATAGTCTTGTCTGTAATAATGGCTAGGTGCCAATAGTCATCCCACACTATAATAGGATTTTCTCTTGTACTGTGAAGGCAGCTTACATACCTACATCACCAATACAAACATCCACACCCAGAACAACACTTTGTAGGCCATACAATTACTTTCCATACAGAATTTGAACCAGTGGTCCCAAGTGCCCCAAATCAATGCTAAGCCTAAGATTTGTTAAAATCTGGTGTGGTCTATATTGAGCACAACCTCTAGCCAGTGGCGAAGCTAGGGCTCCAAACTGGGGCAAGCCCAAGATATGGTTTTGTTGTTATTAGCAATTTTATAAAAATACACCAATCTTGATCTGTCTTCACTCTTCACTCTTCATTTTCATATTCAGTGCTGTCGAGGACGTATTTAACAAAGCTCACAGAAGGCATACTACTGCTTGATAGATTGTATGACTATATGCATACCTTTGGTGGCTTTGAAAAGAGCCGTTTGGGTTTGATTGAGCGAAAGAAAAAGATATTTACATCTTTTACAAAGGACAAAAGAAAAGCATGAACAAAGTACAAACAATGTATAAAATTAAAAAAAATACATATTTATATTCTAAATTGAATCGTCTCTCTTAAAGAAAGATTTGATTACGTCCGCGTAAAATGTTGTTAACCGTTTTAATTGAGCCAATAACTGTTTACATGGATATGAGCTATTTTTTAGTTGCAAACGTAATAACGTATCGCTCGCGTGCCCCGCGCTCGACTAACTTCATACCTAAAGCCAGGCTTATCGCTCCATACTAATTGCTATATAAACAATCGTAGTTATATTTCATTGTAGAACATTTTGCCACAGGTTAGAAAGGGGGCGATCGTCTTCTCGAAAGCCCGGTAAAAAGCCCACGCATGCGAAAGAGACGACTAATCGCTCAACTCCTTTTTTTATGACAGCAGTATCGCGCAGTAAACCAATCTGCCAAGTGTTGACGTTACATAATAAGGCTACGTTATAGAACAGAGGAGCGCGCGGGAAATTTGAAACAGTTTACGAGTAATTTTTTAGTTGATATTATTGATTGAGCAGTTTGATAGGGCAAGCCTGGCTTATCTGCTTCTATGGAAGCTTCGCTACCGCCTCTAGCTATTATTATTTGTAATCTAGTCTGACCCAGGAACTGGTGCTTCAGAGCAAGCTAATAAATATATCTCCGATAGTTGTTAGTCTTAATGAGCTGATCCTGTATCGCACAGACAAAACGCTTGGTTCCCCAATAAAGTCACTGATCTGTACAACGGGTGGAAGGAGACTGTATCTAAGAAAGGCTTATGTAGAGTCTGGTAGAACCTCCTGTGGAGTTCCTTCTCCTTCCATACGGTCTCCTGATCGGAAATGCTGCCAGAACTTGCCATTGCTTGTTGGCTGTTGAAGGGTAAATCCTACACGTACGTGCGTTATTATGTAGTACACATAATAACGTCCATGTAGAATGGGTCATCCGATTTCGTCAAATGCAGGTAGAATCAGGTCTCAAAAAATCTCGAATTTGTCTCAATCCCCTAGGCACCCATAAATGTTACTGTCATAATTCCAAATTAAAGCAAGATTGATAATTTTTTTATGTTAGTATTTTACTATTAAAATATTTTGATTTGATTTTTTTTTATAAAATTTGAATATTTTAACAGATATTTGCAACCCCCTGCTGAGTGGGTAGTGTGTGCGTTGGAGTCACGAGAATTGCTTGCCCTATGTTTGAAGAGATTAAAAGGCCTAAATAGGGTGAAGTTGGTAGATGCAGGTTTTGCATGGACTGAGCCCCATTCAAAGAGGATAAAAGTAAGCATCTATGTTGTACATATATTTCCATATTATATTATTTGAGGTCGATATTAAGATATGTACTTCAGTCTAAATTTAAACTATATATATGGATTAAACACCAGTTTACAAAAACGCAAAACTGATTTCTTTATTCTTTTCAATATCCATGTTATTGCTACAGTTTAGAAACCACATACAAGTAGTACCTTTGATGTTTGCATAAAAGCCAGCATCACAAATCACAAGGTATAGAGCTATAGTAGAGAGCAAATCGAACTGATTGATAATTGATGATTTATTTTACTAACGTTATGTTATTTATTAAAAGGGTAGACCTTTTGAGTGAACCAAGGAATATCACAATCTCACTGTTGTCTAAATTACATTAAAAACTTCACCCCCAATTTTGTCTCCCTTAGGGGTATTAATTTTTCACCAAATTTGTATGAGGACACCCCTGAATTATAGCCCTTTTAATAAAACAACAATCATCAAAATCAGTTTAAAATCGATGAAACATACATACAAAAAATAAACAGTCAAGTTGTAAATTTCCTGTACCTGTACTTTTTTTAGTCAGCTTACAATGAAATAATGTTAATAATTGTTTCCGTGTGTGGTGGTGATGAAATCTCAGATCTTATTTATCCAGGACGACTTGTAGTCTGATAGCAGTTGAAGTAAAATGTGCAATGAAGACACCATGACTTATTTGTTTGCAATACATGTAAGATTCCATGGGCTCTAACTCAATTAACCTGTACCAGGCGATGAATGCAACATGTAACTTTTGAGGGCTAAGTTAAAGCTTAGTAAAAATGCCATTATGCACACTGAGTAGCTTTGTAAACCACTCAAGGAAAACAAGTAAAGGGTTAAGAAGTAACTTTTTGCACTTAAGTTCCCTGTATTATCGGTAAAAGATACGAAATTTAATTATATTTATCAATTGACACTCAGGGCGATAATTGACCACACTTAAAATATATTTACTACATTTTAGTAACAGTTTGATATAAAATATTAATTAGACATCTACATTACAAATATAATCACGATAAAATATTTTATACAATTGAAAGGCATAGTTTATTTTATGTTCAATGTTAAAATATTGTATTGCAGTTTAATGCATTTTTTTATTACACAGCATCAAGTCAAAATGATATTGTCATTTAAACAAAACCAAAACAAGTTTACTGCAGAACATAGGCTTCTTTCAAGGAATGCCTCAAAACATGGTCGTAAGCCAACTGCCAAAACCAATATACGGTGTTAATGGGAGACTTCAATGCAAAACTAGGCACAAGAGAAAACAGTGAGCTGAAAGTAGGAAAATTTGGAATAAGGCAACGGAACCCAAGGGGCTAGCAGCTGGCCGACTTCATGGAGAAAGAGGGACTCTTTATGATGAACTCTTTCTTCCAAAAGCGGCCCCACAGGAAGTAGACCTGGTCGAGCACCAACGGTTCCACAAAAAATGAGATTGACTTCATTATGACGACCAGACGACAACTGTTCAGTGATGTCTCCGTGATCGCGAGGGTGAAAACTGGTAGCGATCACCGAATGGTTAGAGGCACACTGAACCTAAACGTTAAGTTGGAGAGGTCTCGTCTAATGAAGTCAACGCTCCGTCCCCCTCGTGCTCTGTTCCAAAGTCCCGAAACATTTCAGCTCGAGTTACAAAACCGTTCTCAGTGCCTAGAAAACTGCAATGAAGTGGACGATATGAATGACAAGCTGGTGGAAACTGTCCATGCGGTCGGAGCTTAGTTCTGCAAGACCCGCCGCAGAAGAATGTTGTGTGGTATTAACAATAGCAGCAACTTCGACTGTTGCACGTATGGGCCGGCTCAAGCCGGGGTGGTAATGGAATTAAATGTAATACTGTCCCAGGAGGGTACCAGCATCCCGTTAATAGAGAATCCCTTGCCGAGCATCCACGATCAAACTACTCCACTCCTGGGTGTTCAGGGTGCCCCACGTATTCTGGGGAGAGGGGGGGAGGGGCAAAATTCCGCTCTCTTGAGCAGAATTTTGCTTGCCTTAGCCTTGTTGCTCAGCTTGCCCCGATAACTGCTCGGGGCAAGCTGAGCAACAAGGCCAAGGCGACCCCTGCCACGTGACTTTCTGTAACATCAGGAGACTTCATTCGAACCTAAACACCGTCCACTAATATCTCGAGATGGCGAAGCCGGCCTCGCTCTTTCTGACCGAGACACAGGTGTCCTCTCCAGCTGATACTTCGTAATCGTATCTCTCCTACCCGGGGTACACTCCTTGTGCCTCGGGCTCGAGTTTGCGTATACATCAGAGAGCGCATATGTTCTCGTCGCCTCGGCAGTCTTGAAGGATCTGTCCATCCTTTGGCTACGCGTAGACAGCGAGGACCATCCGCATGTTTACGGGTGCCTCTATAGGTCCCATAGCGGTAATGCCGAAACAGACCAATTCATTGACCACGTCCAAATGGCTACGGATTCCTTGCTACAGCAGATCCCATCCGCAGAGATTGTGATCCTCGGCGATTGTAACGCCAACCACACCGAATGGCTCGGTTCATGTTTAACCGATCATGCGGGGAGATCTGTTCTTGATTTTGCCTTGGCATATGGTCTGACACAACTGGTAACTTCGCCTACGCGGATTCCAGATGTGGAAGATCATGCACCTTCCCTGTTGGATCTTCTGCTGACCTCTCATTCAGATAGATATCAGGTCTCCGTCCACTCCCCTCTTGGCTTCTCAGATCATTGTCTGGTCCAGAGTGTGGTGCCACTCATATTTACATCGCGATTGCATTCTGCAGGCTGGCTAAAAAAGGCGACCGCTCAGACCCGTCTAGCTATGCTTATCGCTACCACCTTGTTCTCCGAAAAAATTGAATCCATTATAAACTGCCAGCTCATGCGGTATCTTGAGGACCACCAGCTAATTAGTGACCGCCAATACGGTTTTCGTCGGGGTCGGTCAGCTGGTAAGCTTCTGGTCTACCTGACTCATAGATGGGCGGAGGCATATGAGTCCAAGGGGAGGCATTGGCCGTTAGTTTGGACATTGCGAAGGCCTTCGATCGGGTATGACACAAAACGCTTCTTTCGAAGCTCCCTTTCTATGGGCTTCCCGAGAAATTGTGAAATTAAATCACCAGCTTTCTGGCAGATCGGAGCGTCTCCTCAATTTCAAGGCACTCCCTTTGTTGCCTCAGCCAGTATCGGAATCCTCGGCGTCGACATATCGATTGACGTGCAAGTTTCGTGATCACTTGGAAGAGAAGACCAAATTGGCCTCTAAACGCTTTGCGTGCTCAGCAGAGCGGGACAGTATTTCATGCCGGCACACCGCCTGCAACTTTACAGGGCGCAGGTTCGGCCTCACATGGAAATGCTGTTCCCATCACTGGACTGGGGCTCCCCAGGGCTTTATTAAAAATATAAAGCTGTTTTTGGTAACAACAATATGGTTTGGTTTAAGTTTTTTTTTAAGAAATCTCTTCCTGATAAAAAAATATCTAAGACCTATGGCCAGCCACGCCACGCCGCCGTGGAATTGGCCTTCGGCGCTCATATCTAGTTGCCAGTGATGACTTACGGATCTGAGACGTGGTCCTTCACTGCTGGCCGTATGAGGAAGCTCAAGGTCTCTCTGCGTGATAAACTTAAAAATGAGTATATCCGCAGTAGAACCAGAGTAACCGATATAGCCAAACGGATTAGTAAGCTGAAGTGGCAGTGGGCCGGCCATATAGCTCGAAGAACCGACAACCGATGGGAAAGAAAGGTTCTTGAGTGGCAGTCTCGTACCGGTAGGCGAAGTGTAGGGCAACCCCCCACGAGATGGAGTGACGACCTGGTGAGACATGTAGGAGGTCGATGGATGCAGGTGGCTCGGGACCGTGCTTTGTGTGGCATTCCTTGGGGTAGGCCTATGTTCAGCAGTGGACTTGTGAAAGGCTGTAATGATGATGATGAAGCCAACTGCATCTAGTGGGTCTTGTGTGTCTTGTGGGCTGCCTTACACACTGATTACTGGTACAAGGCTTTCTGGTAATTTTTATTTTAATTGTAAATCCCTGATATTTTATTAATATTTTCAGGTAAAATTAACTGTACAAGGTGAAGTTATGGGTGGTGCAGTTCTTCAACAAACTTTCATTGTAGAGTTTGTTGTTCAACATCAGATGTGTGATGCATGCCATCGTTCAGAAGCCCAAGACTATTGGCGTGCTTTGGTGCAAGTGAGACAACGTGCAAATAATAGGAAGACCTTTTACTATCTGGAACAATTGATACTTAAACACAAAGCACATGAAAATACATTGGGTATTAAACCAAAGCATGGTTAGTAGACAGCTATATAGTAAATAATTTTTAAGCATTAACATTCTAAATTGAAATGTATTTTTAGTAAAAAGTATTTTCTTTTATAAAACTGAAGTGACAAACAAACTTACAGTTCACATGACAGTAAGTGTCCATGTCTATTCCATGGATACCTGCAGCCAGCTTCAAACAAAGAAAGCTAGAAATGTGTTGTCATCTCTGAGAACTAACATGGAATGCCTCGCAGCTTATTATTATACTGACTCCTTGTACCCACTAAATAGCATTGCAAGCACTGCTATTTACACTCCTCATAAGGATAGTGCGTAAACGTGTATGTTTACGTGGTAGAGCCATGCTGCAGCTATAATAGTAGTATAATTGTAGCACAAATGGGTCGGCTCGACCGGGGAAGTACCACGCTCTCACAGAATACCAGCGTAAAATAGCAGCTTAACACTGCTGTGTTTCGTATGGTGAGTGTAGAGAACCAGAGACCCTTTTCACTGTAAATCCATTCCATCTTAGTCCTCATGGGTGACAATGCTTCTGAATTTTGTTCGTAATCGAGGATAGATGTAGCTATCTTTGGGCCACAGCAACCACTTACCATCAGGTGGACTGTGTGCTCGTTTGTCGCCCTTATCCACTAAAAAAGAAAAAAAAACTTTTTAAGCTCAGTTTTCCATTGACGTCCGTCGAGTTGGGTGTTGATACGCATTTTTACAGAAAAGTTACACTATTATAAGCACACACACAAAGCGGAACACGTAACGTACACGTACGTTTCAACATGCAGAAACGCGTTATTTTTGAGAAAAGAGTTATTGAAAATCAATTATTCTTGCAATGTTTATGTCTAATCCTATCGTAAAGCTGGCGCCATTTTGTAATGTCAATGTCGACGTCGATAGGGATGTCGAGTCTTTCCGAAAAAGGTCGATTTTTAAATCGATTCAAATCGTAAGCTGATATCTCGGTTCACAAAAAATTGATTTCTAAAATATCTATATTTTTTTATGTTTCTATTAATATTGCAAAAATATTTGATTTTCAATGCTTTTCTCTCAAAAAGTACATGTTTCCGCATATTGAAACTTTGTGTGTGTGCTTATAAAAATGTAATCTTTCTGTAAAAATACGTATCAACACCAAACTCGACGGACGTCAATAGAAAGTCGTACCAAAACCTTTAATGGACCTTTGGTGATTCTGTGAATAAGGTACGTAACCCTCTTCGAAACACTGCTGATTTTATAACTATGTTTTTGATGAGAGCCTTGTGGTTGATAAATCTGACATCTTCTTGGATAGATGTCGCCCCTCTGATGCTACATTCACAGATTATAGTAAAAGTAAAGTAAAATATACTTTATTGTACATCAAAGAATATATTACAGTATTTACATATTTAAAGGGACATTGGTACAACAGACGGCCTTATCGCTAAAACAGCGATCTCTTCCAGGCAACCTTAGGGCAGAGGATACTATTTTTAAAAGATAGCGGAAGGGGTGTGCAGTATATAATATAGAAAGATAAATAAAAGAACATAAGTGATTAAAGGAAAAAAAAAGGGAATGACGAAAGGTAGTAATTTAAGAGGAAAGGTAAAAATGTTTTATTTTTAAATATAGGGAGAGATTTAGATTCTTTAATATGTAACGGGAGAGAATTCCATAGTCGTATAGCGGTAACCGTAAAAGAATTAGAATTGAAGGAAGAGGAATGTCTAGGAGTACTTAGAAGGAGATTATTTTGAGATCGTAGAGGTAAAGAGTGTAAAATACTGAAATATATAAATCGGTCTTTCAAATAAGAAGGAGTGGTCGGATTGAACAGAATGCAGTAAAGAAGATGAAGAATGTGAGTATTCCTGCGAAGGCGAATCGGTAACCACTTGAGCTTATGGCGGAATTCGGATATGTGGTCATACTTTCGTAACCCAAATATAACCTTATGCAATAATTTTGAAGCCGCTCAAGTTTATTAAGTTGTTCGACTGTTAGGTCAAGATAACAAGTGTCCGCATAGTCAAGGATCGGTAAAAGAAGAGACTGGGCCAGCGCAACTTTAGTAAGAATGGGGAGAACATTGCGTAATCTTCGAAGTGAACCAACTGCGGCAAACATTCTTCTACTTATTTCACTCACTTGCGGTCCCCAAGACAAAGTCTGATCGAACATAATGCCTAAATTCTTAACTTTGTCACTGTATGGGATAAGTGTCCCTTCGAATATGACTGGCGGGAGCAGCGACAAAGTTAACCGAGAGATTAATTTCGAACTCCCAATAATAATGGCTTGAGTCTTCAATGGATTAACTTTAAGCCCAAATGAATTACACCAATGAGAAATACGAATAAGATCTTCATTAATTAATCTAATTATATTGGGGAGATCCGCAATCTTACATTGAGAGTAGATTTGTAAATCGTCTGCATATAGGTGGTAAAGAGAAGTTATGTGGGAACAGATCGAATTGATGAAAATAGAGAACAATAGAGGAGACAACACGCCACCTTGTGGGACGCCAGCTTTGACAGCAGACCAATCAAAAAATGTGTCTTGAATTTGTACACGTTGCCGGCGCCCTTGCAAGTAACTATGATACCAAACAATTACTTCAGGAGATATGTTAAGAGAACTTAGGACAGCGAGTAAAACATCAAAGTCTACAGTATTGAAGGCTTTACTAAAGTCAAGCAATGTCTATACTGTAACCTGCCGATTATCCTGCAGATTACTGAGTCCTTTCCCTCACCTAGACAAGCACATGTCAGTTGAAGTACTATTGACCTGTTCAAATGCTTTTTTACATAGTTTCTTAATATGAAATGAACATTATATTAATAAAAAATAAAATAAAAACTAGTTTAGCTTAAAACCGTCCAAGATTTAAGCCACTGAAAAGCAAAACAACTGAATTTATACTTTTGTTACAGATGGCTTGGACTTCTTTTACGCTACTGAGAATAATGCCCGTAAAATGGTAGACTTTATACAGTCAGTTTTGCCTATTAAATGCCAACATTCAAAGAAGCTTATATCCCATGACATTCACAGTAATATTTACAACTACAAATTCACTTATAGCATTGAAATAGTGCCTGTGTCTAAAGACAGTGTGGTATGCCTTCCCAAGAAATTAACACACCAGCTGGGTTCTATATCTCCTATATGCCTTGTTCTGAGAGTGACCAGCACAATACATTTAATAGATGCAAATACAGGGCAAGGTATGTAAATAATTATTAATACATTTTTAATTTTCAAAGAAATATTTATATAGATGGATATTTATTGTTATTATGTGTATAAATATGTTTTATAAGGTTTATAATAAGCAGGAATCTGTATTTGAAGTAAATAGACAATTCAAGTTGGCTTTTATGTTTCAGTATGCGACCTTTCATCTACTGTGTATTGGAGACATCCATTCTCACCAATATGTAATCCCAAACAACTGGTAGAATACACTGTTATGGACATAGATATTTTAAAAGAACATGTAAGTTGCAATAGTTATAGTTAGCATATTATAACCATTAAGTATGTTGTATGTACCAGTGTCGTAAGCGCGATTGCCAATCATGAGCTCCTGGGTTCTAATTCAGGGTAGAGCCTAAATTAGTTGTTAAGTTTTAGAGTCAAGAAATTCTCAGTAGCAGTCCAGAGCCAGGGAGTTGACGTCAAGCCGTAAGTCCTGCGCCTGATCTCGCTCTGGTGTCGGATTGCCTATCATCTATGAGAGTGAATGTACAGAGTGCATCTGTATTTGTGCACACTGTATATATTATAATCCTGTCCTACGCAGACGGTTAAACTCATTTGAGACAGGCCGCCGTGAAAAAAATATGGTCTGGAAAACATTATGTACTGACACCTGGTAAATTGACACACGATCTGTGCGATTCTTTCATCACTTTAACAAATAATATTATGATACAGGAGATATACCTAGTACGGTTAATGATTAAAAAGAAAACTAAAACACTTAAGTCGAAATTTAAATAAAGCTATTTTTATAATGAAGATTTTTTATACATGGTGGAGCCATGCTGCAGCTATATTAGTAGTATGGGAAGGACCACGCTCTTACAGGATACTAGCGTAAAATAGCAGCATAATGCTGCTGTGTTTCGTGTGGTGAGTGTAGAGGACCGGAGATCCTATTTAGACAGGCATTCCATCTTAGTCCTCAGAGGTGACAAAGCATCTGCATTTTGATTCGTAAGATAAGAGGATAGATGTAGATGTCTATGGGCCACAGCAACCACTTACCATCAGGTGGGCTGTGTGCTCGTTTGTCACCCATATCCAATAAAAAAAGTGAAATCACGTAAAAATAATATGAATTTAAATTGCACTTTACGCTTTGTAATACATCCCCATAAAATGGTTGAGGAAGACGGTGGCTGCCACATGTGTCATATTTGTGAACAGTTGCTCCTTGTGCAGATGGCATGTGGATGACTTGTCTGACCGGATTTGCAACACATTATTTGCTGAAATTTGATTTGATGAAAATTTAAGTTTTTGACGTAAGAAGTTAAATTTCGTTTGACAAATGTCAACTTTTTTTAAATTTACTACGGTTTCAAAATGATGTTCCGCTGTGTGGAGAAAAACCGGAAAGACACTCCGCATTTATCATATTTTTTTGTTATCATTTTTATAAAAAGGAATAGAGCCAAAGTTAGTCAAAGCATGTTGTTAAATTAAATTGCATAACAAGAGAAAAATACAAAATTAATTTTGCATTTTAATTGTGGTTTGATTAAGTTTGGTTCTATTACGTTCTATAAAAAAATATAACAAAACAAGTGGCAAAATTAAAAATTTTGTACAACCGACTTCAATATAAATTATTGAGGATAACTTAAAAACTACTATTACTGCTAGTATTATTTGATGAAATTTATATGGGACAACCAGTTTTCAAATAAAAAAAGAATCATCGAAATCGGTTCACATAGAAAAAAGTTATGACAAAAGTTATGTAACACACATAAAAATAAAAAAAACATACAATCGAATTGCGTACCTCCTCCTTTTTGAAGTTGGTTTAAAATAGGGTAAATGCGGAGTTTCTTTCCGGTTTTTCTCCAGAATAGAATAGAGTAATTTTTATTGGATAATTTAATTTAATAAGGAAAAAAATTCGAAGACGTGAAGTTTGCCATCACGCATTGGGGCAGCGTGGCGGACATTTCCTTACCCTAAAACCCTCTTACAAATGAGGGGAGGCCTGTGCCCAGCAGTGGGACGTATATAGGCTGTAACTTTAACTTTTTATGTATTCTTTGATATTGTAATAATCCTTTTTGTACAGTTTTTCTTTAATAAAAAATGTAAACTTGTTTATTGACAATTTTTGTACATTTTCTGGAATTTTGTTGTAAAAGCATATACATTGCTCCATAAATGTATTACTAATTCTGTGGAGTCTAGTAACTGGTATTACAAGATTATGTTTAAAGAGAGTTTCACGTCTGTATCAAAAAAAAAATCAAAAATCTTTATTCTCAAACCAGTAATACTTAAAATTAAATACATTATTGGAACACTCCTTTTAAGTTAAGAAACTTGTGTTAGGAGGCTCCGCTCTTCCCGTCTTTCATTTATATAAATTAGTGTTTAGAACTTGGGTAACACATAGATTTTTGACTTACAGTTAAAATTATGTAGTATTGATTAATACTGTATGACAAGTATCCAGACAACGGAACCTCATTTTGAAACAGTATAGGCAGTGAATTTAACAAAGGTTACATTTGGCAAACGAAATTTAATTACTTACGTCGAAAAATTAAGTTTTCATCACATTTTAGTTCATCATTGATTTTTATTTACTGCGTTGTTAAATTATTTTAAGATGTACTTACAAAGGTTATCTTTCATTACAATTTATTAATATGAGGCAGCTTGTAATACTGTAATTTTTTTTAATTTCACTTATACTACACTTATATAATACACACGCTACATATATATTTTGTTTTGCATTAACTTATTAGGAAGCTATTTTTTAATTTTTAGGAAAGAAAAACATTCCCCGGCCAGGGCGTAGTTTCAAACAAACATGTGGTTGCAGATGTGTGGGTGGTGAAGACCAATGAGCTTGGACTTGATGTTAGTCCTGTACACACAAGAACTCACTTGGGTCACATTTTGAAACCTGGCGACACAGTTTTGGGGTATATAAAATACTTTTTCTACCTTATAAACAAGCGAAATTAAAAAAAAATTATTTAAAATTTAACCACGTTTTTTTATCATATTCTTGAATTATCATCCGAATTTTATCTATACTCAAAATTTCAAGTTTCCAGCTCATCGAGATGTTAATTTAAAATCAATTACTAAATTACACCCAGAACAACAGACAAACATGAAAGTGACTTAATAAAAACGTGATAAAATAAGACTGGGATTCTCTTTCTTATTTAGAGGATTTTCAATTTAGATGAATTTATGGTTAAGAAAAAATTTCTAAGACCTGCATAAAGAATAATTTTGTTTAAAATATTCTGTCGTATTTCAATAACAACATAATATGGAATTTCATTGAACGTTATTTTTTGTAGATACAATCTAAGCGACTCTAACGTAAATGACGTGAATTTGGACAAGCTCGATCGGGATTCAATACCAGATGTGTTTTTGGTGAAAAAATATTACGGTGAGAAGTCAGCCAGGAGACGCGCTCGCAACTGGAAGCTCAAACACATGGCAGAGGAATTGCACGAAGGTCTGAGCTCCACCAATGAGTGAGTAACATTACCCAAAATTACAAGCAAATTGTGTCTGTTACTTCTTTATTCACTTGAATCTTTCAAGTTTCGTGTATTTGTGTGAAATGATGTCCGATAGTATTCGTAAGTTAGTTATAACAGCTCGGGATATAAAGACACATGGTAATGTGTTAGCTAAGTTCGTAAAAGAAAAAAAGGACAACAAACTATGCAATAGTTCACTTTTTTTCTTTTTTTTTCTTTTCTGTGTTTATTTACACAACCAATTTGTGATACTTTTGACCTACCATAACTCAAACACCATTAGACGTACATTCTTGTAAATTTGCATGTCTAATGAGGTAGAACACATAAAATCCCAAATTTCAAGAATAAACCCAGAACACTCCTTGAGTTATTAGGGTCTGAAAAGTGTCATTTTTATCACTCAGTGACTTGCTTATCAAAAACCCATTTTCAACAATGAACTGGTGATGGGCTGTAAATTATGGTGATGACTGGTTAATTAATTATACATGTTTAAATAAAACTAATTTTACGGATTTTATCGCGTACATTAACTTACTTTATATTCCCGACGTTTCGGGCAATTTTCAGCACCCATGGTCACGGGGGAACTGAGGTGTATGACGTCCCAATGTCATAGTTAACCACGGCTACCTTCAGATTAAAGATTATTAATTTTTGTTCCGATCTACGCAGTATGCTACTATTAAGGCATCTAAAGCAGATTGTAGCACCCAGCGACCTTTATTAAAATTGGCATGTTTTAATATTTATGTAGCAGTCAATTTTTAATTTCATTATGAAATCTGTACAATTTTACGACAATTTGTGGTCTATTACATCGAATGTACAGGACAGTTGATTGGAAGATGTGTGCAAAACTGTAAGGGGAAAGAAGATAGTCTAGACCATGTAGGCTATAGTTATGTTAGACGAAGTCCGATTATATTTCTTTGTTTTTGGTGTTAAAACCCAAAATTTTACAGTTAATTACTAATAATTCCAAGGTTTATTGATATTTAAAAAAAAATTAAAGTATTGTGTAAGCAATCTAACAAAACATTGTCTAAGCATCTGAGTCATCAGACATTTTTTGTACAGACTCTACTACTTACAGCATTTTATAAAATTCGGCGCGTACGGTCACAGATTACTAAATAGTTTATTAAAGTACGGTGCGGGTGTAATGTTTCATATGATTTCATACAACGAATTCTAAAATTCGTCGCGTACGGCGCGGATAAATGTGCGTTCAGCTTAAGTTCACGAAAAGATTCAAAGAAACAGGATTTTGACGCTAAGTCAAAAAAAAACGGATGGTGCTTTTTTTGTTTAAACCTTTTTGAAAACATGCTTGGTTATTACTCTTTTGTTTGAGGTAATATTTACGCGGATATCACACATTATTAAAATAAGGACCTACAAACCAGGTAGTATCTTAAAAAGAAACTTAAGAACATAACAAGTTTTTCTTAAATCTTCCAAAAGTCACTATTTCCAGTATTTTTTAGTTTCTTATCTTTAATTCTTGCTGAGAAATTGACCTTAGTATGTGTGACTTGTGCATGATTTTGTTATGCTTTAGTATAATATGATTTTTGATAAGAGCGACAAGTTGCTCGATCATCGTACGTGATTATACATCACACACACGTGATTGCCTCATGCGGTAAGATTAAATATTTAACAAAAAAACAACGCGACCAAAAATACAAAAGAGAGATTACGAAAAATTTGTTTTTAAAGAAGAGGGTGCAAACGAAGAGGTAGGAAATCCTTATAAACCCACGGTGGTGAAATGACGAAAATCAATGATGATTTGGTTGGTAATCAGTGTTGTGCTGCAGAGTATGATGTTAAAATTTGGCGACTGAAGTGAATCCGTCAGAGCACTTACGGTAGGAAAGATGATAAAAAAAGCAGATGCATTGTCTTTTAGAAAGGCCATGATTTTTTTTATATAAGCCAGTACTTAACCACAATTCTACCTGGTGGTAAGTGTTGATGTAGCCCTTGATGGTAACATAACAAAAGCCTATTCACTCTTGCCTTGAAGATACCCAGTTTGTATTCGGACGGAAATATAGACGCCGGCAAATTATTCCACTCATTTGCTGTATGTATTACAAATACATAGCAAATCGTTTGGTTTTAATGCTAAAATATCGACAACAAAGGGGTGAAGACCTGCCGATCGCCTGGTTGTCCGATGGTGGAAAGGAGAGGGGGGAGGAATTAAAGCGTGTAATTCCTGCGCACACTTACCGAAATGCATCGTATGGAATACTAAGAGGCTGGCTTCTCTGCGTCTGTGCTCGAGACTGACAAGATTGGTTTCAACCAAATCAAGATTATCTACCAATGAGCCTCTTAACACGTCTCTACTGAGTCCAACGCTGCTAGATGTCGAAATCCAGCCGATCAAAAAGAACTCTGTAGTCGACGTTTGGAATCGCTCTTTGTTGCATGTGGTCAAATGGACAACGCGGCTACTTTGTTGACTCAACCCAGTAAGGAGAACAGTATTCAATGTAATGTCGAATATGCGCCTTATATAGTTGCTGTTGCTTGAAAAGTAGGTGTGCATAAATCGGGTGCATAAAAGCCGCCTTTCATGATTTCGGGACTATACCTAGAGAGTTGGACCATCGGCAAAAACGCGTAAAAGCCTGTGCCAACCTGTTCCATCACCTGTTGAACAGCTATTCAAGGAGAGGTTTAGGGGTACTTTGCGCACTGAGCTCTGCAGGAACTGATAGTCTCACATGGAGTACTGACACTGCGCGATGGTCGGCTGTGTGTTCCTTCTGTTATCGGAAGTAGATGTGATGCAAAAGAGAGATTAAAAATCGACTTTCTCCTTTGCGGCACGGGTCTTTTTTTTACTTTCATACTAACCTACCTACCTACCTACTACCTACGGATACCAAGTTCTCGTTATGTCGGATTCGCAACCCATAGTTTTCCACCTTCGCCGCATATTGGCAGGGCACGGGAATGCTTTTGCACACGAATGATAAACTGATCAGTGACACCGGGGGTCATGGGCTCTAGATATTGTTAACCGATGTTTTTACCGAAGTATTGTCATGTTATTTTATCCGTTTAATTAAACTTTATTTTAAATTCTCATTTATTATAATTTCTGAAAAGGATTGCATTAACAGAATCATAAAGGTACTTAAAAGCACCCTTACGGATCGTATAGGACTTTTTATTTAATGTATAGTGTAACATCTAAACTGTAGGCAAGTTTAAGAAATTTGCTCAAAGGACTTAACATAGATTTTGGAGAATACTATTCATTCAAAGAAAATTCATTGAATTTAACGTTTTGTAAAAAAAAATACTACAATTAGTTTAGTCGCTAATCGATCACTTTCATTTAGCAAAAGAAAACAGACTACCAATGAAATTTCAAAGCAAAGTATTGTGTTGTACTAGTATGGCTGTAGGGCTATAAGTTAAGCCTTAATGTAATTTAAAAGCGGCCAGTTTGATAAATATCATACACGTATATTCAAAGTCATTCAAATTCTCCTTATCTAAAAATACCAGAACTAACAGTTCGAAAATCTTATAAACATTAAAATATCTTGTAGTATTATATCATTGTATTTTTTTTTTCAGGGATTACAACGACTTTTTGGATGATTTGGAAGAAGATCCGGCTTTTAGACAAAACATTAACATCTTTAAAGATGGTAATAAGATTCCTGTAGATACTGATGAAATAGATCCTTCCTTGCCTCGGATCACATTGGCTGAGATGTTGGATGATTTAAATATAGAAGATGTTGAAATGTCTGAAGTATGAAGAACTTCGTTTACGAAGATTATAATCTATATCTTCGTAAAGTGTATATATTTAATATTTAACTGTTGATTAAAGAAATATAATTTTTTAATACAGAGCCTTCTTTAATTTCATGTACTTCAACGTCTTCAGTAGATTATGTCCTATAAGGAGTCCACTGATCGTCATGGCACATGCTTTGTTTCGAAAAGAAGGCTCGAAAGTTTCCCATTTTTGATGGCTCCTCCCCCCGCTCTGGTATATTACTATCACTATGACTACAGCCCATCATAAGACCACTGCTGAACATAGGTCTCCATTTTTATTGTCACTTTATCTAGTGGGGGACCGGCCAATACTGCGCTTGCTAGTTCTAGCTAGCCACTCGAGAACCTTTCTTCCTCATCGATTGTTGTTGGCCGGCCAATTGCTATTTCAGCTTCCTGATCCGCTGTGCTATGTTAGTTACTTTTGTTCTGCGGATATCCTCGTTATGGATCTTATCCTGCTTAAAAAATCCTACCATAGCCCTTTCCATAGCATGGTAAGTGATCTTGAACTTTCTCATACGACTAGCAGTGAAGAACTACATTTCAGTTCCATCAGTCATTTCTAGCATCATGCATTTGTATACATTTTCGTCTTAAGGTTTTGAGGAATATCGGACAAAAAAATTTTTCGCAGTTACCCGAACGCAGTCCAGCCGCGTATTATTCGTCGGTTAATTTCTTAGGAGTAGATCTAGTTGTCTTCTAGGTCAAATTTCGGTCACTGCGGCGGTCTTAACGGAGACGAGCCATGCGCAGGACATTTAAGTTATATGTACTTAAGTACTAGAACTGCTATTTCAAACAAAAAATGTGCTCTAATCATGTCTTCGCGCATGCGCAGGGAAGAGAAGTGTGGCGCATGCGTGGTTGGTTTTTATCATAGATACAGATTTATAATAATCATAGATTATATTATTACGTAGGTAGAATTATCAGTAGGTATGTAATAATAGATTGTTAGATTGTATTGTTAATTATGTAAATTATATCGAGTACAGTTTTTAAAATTTGTCATTTATTTTGCGTATAATATATGGTAATTTAATATAATTTTGTATTACAATTACATTTTAATGATATTTATATTTGAATATTTTAAAAGGTAACTATATAAAATTTAAAAACATACAAAAGGTATGTTTAACGTAACTTATTAATATAACATTTAATTTAAAATATATTTATTTAGATTAGAATAAGAGTCGTTCATAAATGCTGGACACGCGAGAGTCAAAAATGGACGAATTTATTCCACTTTTCCCTGTTTCCATGGCTTGGACTTGGAAACCTAAAAATTAAATAAAAGAATAATCAGCAAATTTAAACATCAGAAATTTAACCTAATTATGAATACTTCTATTGGTCTCTACAAAAAAAAATTGTGCATAATATAATCTTCTTACACTTACCCACAGAGACGTCGCATCTGAACAAATTAATTTCATAATCTTTATTCCATGACACGAGATGGCGTCTTAGGAATAATTTGTATGACTATTAAATCTTTAATACTTTTTTATTAATTAAGTATCTTATTCACTGATGAAAAGTTTGGTATTTGCTAATTTTTCATGAATTATTTGTGCAATATCTAAAACACCATGGCATATTATATCAAGATTTTTTATATAATCAACACAGCACGTGTCAACTCACTAGCGCCTAGCGAGTGAGTGACATCGCCGCAATTGAATGGGACAGGAACAGGGTAACTAAAGGCAGTGTCGTCTCTAGTACGTAGTACATAATAGCACAGGTGCACTCTATTCCCTCACTGTTATAGTTGAATGGAACGGTGGCACAAGTAAAGAAAAAGGTCGAAATGGGACTTACCTAATCAGAAATTTATCTTGGGTTTATGCTTGAAGAATAAAATTACCACACTTCCGCTCAATGTCACCGGCGTAGCACCAACGCGAAGGCTGGAATTAAAATAGTTTCTGAAGGACTTTAAAGTATCGGTTTACCACCTGCTTTCAGAAACTCTGCTGTAATTCCATCTTCACCCGGCACTTTCTTCTTACGTTGCCGGAGAGCTTTTCTAATCTCGCTGAAAATTACGTCCGTTACGTTAACCGCATTTGCGTACGTTTCTATGGAAGATATGTACAGCTGTCTATAAAACCTCTCCATCTTAGTCAAAATCTCTAGCGACCCGGTAATGACGCTGCCATTATTGTTCTACAATTTTCTCAATTGGCTTCTTGAGGTAGACATACGAGTACTTCTTTGGCAAATACTTTTCCTGTTTTTGCTTAAGGTGGAAGCTCCAGGATGGACCGCGAAATTCAAATTTTCTTACGTATTTTGGAATTTGCAGGTCAGGGTCAGGTTGTATGTTTAATAAAATATGATTCGCGACCGTAATGAGTACGTATTTACAGAATTATAATCATCAATACAACCCTCTAAGTTCGTATAATTACATTGTATGGCTATTTCCAGAAAAACTCATTCAAAAGGATTATATGATCTTAGAGGGTTGTAGTGGTGATTTTAATGATAATAATTCTGTAAACACATACTCGTTACGGTCGCGAATCATATTTTGTTAAACATGCAACCTGACCCTGACCTGCAAATTCCAAAAAACGCAAGAACCACCCTGGAGCTTCCACATTAATTGCTACTTCAATACGAGCTGTATTAAACTTGCGTTAGTCTAGCCGCGTACATTTAGAGATCTGCTTGTTATATCATATCCTCTCTGGAAGCCTTATTAAGAGTGCGATCTAAGAGTTTTTAGTTTCTTCTACATGTTTGTAGGGTATTGTTGCATTTTGCTTTAACCGCATGGGCAGTTTCCACGAGTTTATCTTTGATGTCGTCCACCATATTGCTATCTTTTAGAGATTATACACTTAGATTTCTAGATCAGTTCACGAGGAGATCGGAGCAAAAACTTTATTAGATGGGATGTTTAATGTTAAGATTCAGTGTGCTTCTAACCATTGAGTAATCGCTGCCGAATTTTTCCTTAGCAATTATATTTGGCATAAGGAGATGGTTTTACATTCACAGTGGAAAGAGCGTCGTGTAAAGGATAATCGTGCTGGATTCAGTACGGAAAACTTCCACGACGTGAAGTGTATGAAAATTCACGCAGTTTTGTTAAGCGCGCGTTCAGAAGACTAATTCTAAAGAAATGGTCAAAAGGGTTAAAAGGAATATTACACAAGCAGTTTGTATAGGATAAGGGTGACAGAAGAACACATAGTCCACTGGATGGTAAGTGGATACTGTGGTCCATAGACATTAATACTCAATTAAGAATTAAAATGCAGATACGTTGTCACCATTGAGGGCTAAAATGGAATGCCTCGTTTCCAGTAAAAAGAATCTCCGGTTCTCTACACTCGCCATACTAAATACAGCAGCATTAAGCTGGTATTTTACTTTGGTATTCCACGAGAACGTGGTCCTACCCCAGTCGAGCCGACCCATTCATGCTACAACCATAACATAGCCGCAGCGTGGCTCTACCACATAAAAAATTATGTTCGTTGGTCTAAGCGTGTATAAATTAAGAAAAAGAAGATCGGTGTTTACCCACACGCCATATAGAGAACGATTTGGTAATTTGACGAAATTGCGAAAATGGACTAATTTTACGACAATCGTTTTTACAAAACTTCGCGTGGCTGTGCTTGTGTTTGAACGCTTGAGGTATCTCCTTTTCTGCCGACTTCAAAAAGGATTCGACTGTATGTTTTTTTATGTGTGTTATCTCATAACTTTTTACTGGGTGAACCGATTTCGATGATTTTTTTTATTTCAAAGCTGGTACTTCACATGTGGCCCCATATGAATCTGAATATAATCTGACAATTGATCAAGGTCAGACCAATAGTTTTTGAGTTATTCTTAATAATTTATATTGAAGCCGGCTGTACAAAATTTTTAGTTTTAAATTATCTATCTGACTATCTTTACATCTGCGCTCCTTCCCGCGCGATTCACGCGTTATCTTTAACGCGTATGTGTAAAGGCGGCTAATCATGAGATGTTTTAGAATCATAATATTAGGTCGGGGAAAAAGTTTATTCGTATTTTATATACAAATTCAAGACTTTTTTTAAGTTTAATTACACATAATTATAATATAATTATATGTGCCATTTTGTTCAATAACTTGTTTCGATCTTGTAGGTAGTGACATTTTTATTTATACATACAGTACAATAATAAATTACACTTAGATTAATTATAGGTCTTCGCGCGTCTTTATTCAGTCACTCGCTAGGCGCTAGTGAGTTGACACGTGCTGTGTTAATTATATAAAAAAAATTAACTTTTTATCCGCTTACGGAAGAGTAAAATCCTTTTTTTTTTAATTATTGTCATTATGGCTGCTTATAGTTATACTATTAGTCCTAAAGAGGATTTCGCTAAACGTATAATAAATCTATAAAAAAAAGTGTGTGTGTGTGTGTGTGTGTGTGAAACTAAACTCATCGCGCCACCAACCAGAAAGGGAGAATAATGTTTGCCGGGCCAGCTAGTTACATTATAAAACAAAAGTAATCCTAAAACCAATGAAGTTTCCACATAATATCTAATACAGCTTGCCACCACAATATTATGTTGTATGTAAAAATAAAAAAGAGAATCCCGTTGCTGTAGATATCTTGGTATTTTTGTAAAAAAAAAAAGCGACAAGTAATTTTGACATTCCTCTCTTGATGTTAACCTAACACTACCCAAAGAATGCTGAGGAAATCGAAACAGGTGAAAATCCGTGAGTGCAAGGTCAGGACTATATGGTGGATGCATTAACACTTCCCAACCAAGCTCTCTCAATTAGTGCTGAGTGGCCAAAGATGTGTGTGGTTTGGCGTTATCATTATGAAGGACCACTCCAATTGCAGCTGTTTTTTCTCAATTTCTTGCTTGAATGTCATTAGTTGTTGGCGGTAGAGATCCGAATCGATGGTTTTGCCCGTCGGTAAAATCTCATAATAAACGATGTCC